CTTGCTCTTAAAAAATTAGAAGGCCTAGAACCTTCGCTACAGTTTTATAGATTGTTCGATAAAGGTAATTAGTCTAAACTTGGAAGGGGAATCAGCCGAGGTAGACTTAGGAAGGAGAACAACCAAAGTTTTTTTCCAACTTTGTGACATATGGTCAGATATGAAGAACTCACAAATAGCAGCACAATTCTTATTAACCACACTCCAAAAGTTTTTGAAAAAGATGCCCTTATCCCATCAAGTCCAAGAGATGGATTGCTACTCCTTTCAGCCATCTGATTTTGGCACCCTACTTCCACCACAAGTTATTTCTAGCTAAAATGGAATTTAGTTCCTTCATTGTAATGCGGAGAGTGATTTCTTGATCGGGGGATAATCCATTCAGAGAGCATTCCTCCATCTTAGGTTCATAATTTCATCTTCAAGAGAGGACTTAATGATGCTAAGATCTTTAACTTTTTATATGCTCCAATGGAATAAGGCTTTGAGTGTTCAAGAGCACTTTCTTTGGAGGATTTCTGCATGAGAGCCTTGATTAGTTTTAGACCACTTTGTGTAGGCAACTTTCTAAGGCATTGCATATGAGAGCCATATCTCTTCAACTGGAAGCCATCTTGTGGGAAGGAGGGGCGCAATGTGAGCATTGTCATTGGTCAAGAGAATGAGACAATGGTCGGAGTTCAATCTCATAAGATGTCTTGTTTTGAAGTATGGTAGAAGATTTGATGCTATAGTATGGATGAGAAATCTATCAAGGCGGACTCAAATTTTGTAGTTCAATTGCTAATTTTTGCTCCATGTGTACGTTGGGCCACTTGACTAGGTCACAACGGTGCATGAACTTTTTGAAATCTTGCACCTTTTGGGAAAACGTGAATCCCTCATTGCCCCTCCAATCAGCTTGGGAAAATAAAGCAGTTCAAATCTCCAGCAACAATAGTTGGAAAGGTCATATCCAACTTACTAGCCAACAACTTCCGCGGAGATCTCCATATGAGATAATCGTTATTAGCATAAACTATGGTAACCATCCATGTCTTGTTGTTTGGGTAACGAACCTTACCAATAAGATATTGCGTGCTTTGCTCAATAACAGTAAAGGAAATGAGTTCCTGCCTCCAGAGAGCCATAATGCCTCCATCTTTTCCCATGGTAGCTTAGTAAAAAAAATCTCAATTGCCTCCAACCAACTTTTCCACAACTTACCTGGAAATGTCCTCTACTTTGGTTTCCAGAAGACCCACATTATGGTCGCCAACCAATTGTTTTAGGTACTTGATTGCCTCATTTTTCCAGCCCCCCTACAATTCCAAATGAAGAAGGAAGTTTGCTGCTTCAAATGTGGCTTTTTTCCTTTTTCATAGAAGTGGTTATATTGACTTGATTTGTAACAATTCCATATCAAAAAGGAGCTTTTTAAATGGATTAGATCTCTTTGTGCTGCCTTCAGTGTCTTCAGAATGCCATCCAGCTGAAAATAAGCAGGTGTAGGGTTGTTGAAATCAAAAGGAGGGTCTGATATGGGGTTAGAGGCAGTATCTTGAATCTGCTTAAGAAGATTTGGCCTACTGACATCCCCTAGGTAAGGCAGAGAAGTTGTTGTCAGTTCCTCTTTAATAATACCTTCTGGTGTTGTGTTCTTTGTTTTCCCGTTTCTTCTTCTTGTGACCAAACACCAAGGATCATATCCTTCAGTCTTATCATCAGCATTGTTATCCTGTAAGTCTTGTGCTTTCATTTTGCCTTTCTTTTTAAAAGTTGCTTGTTGTGGTGCATTGTGTTCTAGCTCCTTAAGAGCCGTCGGGTTGACAAAGGAACCCATAACCCGATTAGTAAGAGCATCATGTTCATTCTGGGAGCTGCAATTTGGTCCAGCAGATGGTGGCCTTGAGCTGCTTGCAAGAGGGATGCTGCTTTCCTTTACCAGAGAGGCATGCTGCTTTCCTTTACCGGAGAGGCATGCTGAGCTATTTTTCGCTACAGTAGGATATTTTTCAATTGGGAGGCCTGTTGGCTGCTTCTTATAGTATTATTGTTATTGAGAATTAATCAAACATTGGCTAGTTTTATGTCCAATGTGGCTACATTGGAAGTATTGTTGAGAATTCCCTCATATTCAACTTTATGGAAATTTTTTTTCTGGCAAGCCCAGCACCCAAACACCAGTTGGAAGCTTTTGAAGCAAGATCAACACGCACACACTCAAGCATAAGTATTTCTTCTCCACATGCCTGTTTGTGCATCAATCCATAGTAGTTATCCAATAACTGAAGCATTCTAACAATATGGATGTTATCCCAATAGATCAGCGGTAATTGTGGGAACCGAATCCAAATTGTGGAGAAGAGCCCATGCATTGATTAAGGTGAGAATAACGGTGTCTCCACCAATCCATACCAATGATATGTCTGCCAATTGACTGTGATCCTCCCATTAACTCTGTGTCTTTGGCCTCTATACTTCAAAAATAAGCAAATGAAATAATTAGGTGAGATAGTGAGGAGTTGAAATTCTCCTAACTGTGCCCATGTCCTTTAGTTCATTGTTCAATATTATGTGAGGTAGCCTTTTACCAATAAACTTGCCAACAAGTGCTTTCTCTAGTTTTGCACCAGTCTGTTGAATAGAGTCCATATTCAGAGATACAGAAATTCCATCTTTTTCCATTACTCCTGACTTATTCACTGAGGCAATGCTGAATACTTAGGGCTTCTTCCAAACATTAGGCTCATTAGAATAACTCCTGTTAGCATTTGTTGTGAAGGGAGCTGCGGCCGTGGGGGGGTTTGACAATTCCACTTTTCAAGTGGCCATCGGGCATTTAATTGAACAGTTGACGGGCATTGCACAGAAATACGAGGATCATTAATTACTTCATTTAGTGGTTTATCACACCTGTTCAGATCACTACCAACTGCATTTATTTCCATTTCACAGCCCATTTCCATGCAGTCCTTTACGTGAACCTCACCACAGACTTGCATACAAGCAGGTTTTGCGGAAATTTTTTGAACCTGGGCTCTTTCACGGGCTGCTTCAGCCAGCCTTTGGCGGTCATCATTGAGGGGTCACCGTTGGCACATGAAATAACCAAACTTTGATTGGCTCCCAGCTCCAATTCCTGCTTTTCTATTTCCATTGCATTGCATATTGGTTTCTCGATGCTCAAACTGTACTCAGAATGTGCAAATTGCTGGACGGGGACAAAGTTCAGTACCCGTTGGTCCTCCTCAGTGTGACTACTGCGATCCTGCTGACCATTAGGTTGATCAACCATAGAAACCACGCCTATGTTTCTATTTTTAGCAGCTGCGCCTGCATTGTTTTGTTGAGAACGAGCCTCCCAAGCTTGGCACGCTTGGGTTACCTTTCCATGTAGTCCACTAGAGTGCCGATTACCATCATCCACCACCTTATCCTCACCACCACCATTACAAGAGTGAGGAGGTGATTGATGGTCACCTCCTATAAACTTCTCACACTAAAACCACACCCAATTCGTAGAAGCGGAATAGTGCAGAGATCGCCCACTCACAGAAGTTTCTCAATAGTTTTTGGTAGCATGTTCTTAAGTTTTTAGTAAATGCTTGATATTGAAACCTTTGCAAATATGTTTTCTATTATAATATTATATGTTTGGACATTAAATTGAGCTTTGTTAATAAGTTAACTTTATTGTTCTCTAATTTATTGATTGTGTTTTTTAGAATAAATAACCTTGATTAATTGTTGTTTTTGTGATTCAAATAGACATGTAGTCTACATAAACCAAGTAATTTTAAGCTTTTTGGGGCTCTGCTCATGCATATGCTGTCAGAGGTTTTTAAAAGCTATTTTCTTAACCACAGTTTCTATGATGCTATGATTCTATCTCAAAAGAAGCTTTTCTAAAGCAGATTTTGGGATAAGTTGGGAAAAAATCTTTACAATATTTTTATCTCAACAAAAAATATTTTTTATTGGTTTCTTTTCTTACCACTGGATCAGTAAAATGGGAGTGCAATTGTATGCCATATGTACATATTAATTTAATATTCGGGCTGCCTTTTGTTCAATTTGAGTTAGATTTTGGAAGTTTTTGCTTTGTTCTCTTTTTCTAAATCTTTTGTAGCATTTTGATTTTTGTATACAGCTTTATGTGTTTACAGTATTACTCTGCATTGAGTTGTACATTCACATTCCTTTTTGATGTAATGATCTATTTTAGCTAATGAAATTGGGGTTTTCCCCCAAGTAGTCTCAAATAAAAAATTATTTTTGCTTTCGGGTACAGAATTAATTTGTGTACAAACTCTTCGACCCCAACTAATAATTAGTCTACAAAATGACCTATTCCTTTTTGAGGAAAATTGAAATCTTACTTACTAGATTAGCGAATAATTTTTGAAGGTGGTTTAACGTTGCAATATTTTCCTGATAATTTTTTTTTCTACAGCTGTTTCTTCGTCTACTACAACGTTTTATTTCACCTAGGTTTCTTTTTATTAAGGATATAATTAATCATTTCTAGGATGCATGTGCTTAAATTGCATGGCATATAAGGTGGTTGTTTACCTAGTACTCTGTAGTAAGGTCTTAGTGGAAGGCTCCCTGCTCGAATATTCCATATTTTACATCAAGTTGGCATTTCATGCGAGGAAATTGGTGTTACAAAAGTGTTTAGTTGTCAATATCTTTTTTTTATCCTTGTTTAGCAATCTTGGTCACTCCGATATTTGTATGAACCGTTAAGTGATGGTGAGGAAGATGCTATGTGTTCTACCCTTTAAACGTAGATGTACTTGTATTTTGTGATAAAAGACGGTCTTAAAAACTTTCTGTGCAAATTGAAGGTCAACTTAATACTAATTGAAATTAGTCATCTTTTTAGTGAAATTTTTGTTGATTTCTCCTGATAGGAAAAAAAAAAAGGCTGTAAAAAAAGCAAGCATTAATTTCATTGATTAAATTATTGAAAGGTTGAAGTCACCTATGCTCACACCATTATTCTGGTTGAACAGCTTCTTCTCCAATGTGCCGAGCAGCTGCCGCATAAGATTCCTTTTTATGGAGTACTGGTATGGTCACAAAACATTTGTTATACTTACTTAAAATTTATTTGCAAATTAGTAGTTTCTTATAATCAATATTTATTAGCAATAGGTGTTGCTAAAATACATTCTCCTTGTTAGCATGTTCACCACAAAAACAGTAAAATGAATAATGCATCTTTAAGTAATAGCGGTAAAGCCTTGTTTTGAATCTTATTTACAGTTAACATATTCATAAAACTTTAGCATATGAAATTTATCCGTTGGCTTATCATATCAGAAGTGTTTGGTCCATCCTTCTGATCTCATATAAATAACAATGTGGTTATATATCACCGTTTATTTTAACCGAATACTCTTTGTTTATCTTTCTGTGTTCAACTTAAAATTTATGCATTGAACATTGCGTCTGTTCTTTTGGACAAACAAGAAACAGTGCTGGCCTAACGCTTTGGTGAAGTGATTCAAATCTAGCTTCACCTAATGACAATATTGTTGACAGTATTTTTTTTTGTCTTGGTTATCTCATTACTTCCAATGTAAAACTTTCAATTCTAGCTTCACCTTGGCTCAAGGACTCGAATTAATGAGGCATGAACGGACGGTCGGATGATTGAATAAAATTTTGACTACTAACTAGCTATTTTCTATGCACTGAAAGAACCACTAAAACCTCAAAATTTTAAAGTAAAACATTATAAATACCTTTCTCTTGGAGTATGAGGCCTACGAATCACGATACATGTTCTCTTCTCTTTTACTCATTTAAATTATTCGAATAACAACTGCGAATAATTTACAAATATAAAGTTAGTCACAACTCAATGATTATATTATACTTTTAAATTACAATAATACAAGTCTTTTAGAATAATGTTGTATGCTCACCTCAAAACATAAAATAATTTTATTTAAAATTTATTTTGAATATGACCATCAATGTTATGCATATTTATACTCGTCACATATATCATATCTTTATCTATTCTATAAATAATATAACTGTCACAGGATATACCATCTAAAATTAGTATGAATTTTCGTACTTCATTTTTTATTTCTTTTTTCTTAATCCTTTCCATTTAAGTGCGCCAGTACATTACATACCTAGCTGGTACCATAAAGGGGTGTGCTCTATCAATCAATATTTATATGCAAATAATTATATCTATTTATTTCATGGACATACCATTTAAGAACTTTCTATAATATAAATACTGAAAGTTCTTAAATAATATATGAATGAAATAATTAGATATAATTTCTTGCATGTTCATGTTGATTGATGGAACACACCTCTTTATGGTACTAGCTGAGGATGCAATGTACCCGCACATTTAAATAGAAAAGGTTATGGAAAAGGAAATAAAAAAGTACCTTCATTGATGCTATTTTTAAATGTCGTCTCTTATGATAGTTGTATTATTTATATAAATGATAAAGATATAATATTTGTGATGCGTATAAATATGCATAACATTGATAGTCATATTAAAAATGAATTTTATTAAAATTATTTTATTTTTTAAAATGAGCATGCATATTATTTCAAAAGCCTTGTATTATTGTAATTTAGAAGCATGATATACTCATTAAGTTGTGACTAAGTTTATATTTGCAAAACATTCATAAGTATTATTTGAATAATGTAAATGAGTAAAAGTGGAGAGAATGTGTATCGTTAGAACGACACTCTTAAAGAAAGATGTTTATTGCATTTTATTTTAAAATTTTGATGTTTTAGTGGCTCTTTTAGTATCACAACCTAGCTCGAAAACTCGAACTAACAAGGCGGGAACGAATAGTCGGATGGTTAAAATATTTCTTTCAAATTAAAAAAAAAAATTTATCTACATTCCATATAAAAAGTGAAAGTATTTTACACAATTTTTACATTTTAACATATACATAAATCATGTTTTACTTTCTTTCATTTGATCGTCGTCTTCTGTAGACGTATTCATCTATTTCAGCTATTTCTACTTATCAGAAGACTTATATGAAAAATTAGTATTACAGTTTGAGTGTACATATTAAATTCATTGGATAATCACTATTGATTTATAATATTAAAGTATGTATAAAATACTCATGCATATTCTTATTCATTTCTTTTTCAATTTAACATATATAATATTTTATATGCAATGTAAGTTAGCTTTTCCAATTAATTGATTTATTCTTTTCAATTTGACATTCATTCCTTTTTTTTTTAATTCATACTGGAGCACCGTCTAAATGTACCAATAAAAATATAATTCTTCTTATTTCTATTTAATGTGCAAGGGTATGTTATTTCCTCTTTCAGTACCATAAGTGGGTGAACTCCTGTAATTTGCATGCATGCATCTTTTCTTTTTTTTTTTTAATAATTTCTATTGTATGTAAATTTTCTTATTTATTCATTTATTTTAAATTGACACGCATCATTTACATATACCTATATATCCTTATATTACCTTATAACTTTAATGCCTAGATTTCATCATTATGAACATGATAACTTTCAAACATAATAGTTGAATAATTAAACAGAATAATGTATTTAAAAATTCAAATAGAGTAAAATGTTGTAAATAACAATAATTATCCACTTTATTTGCTTCAGCACTTCAAATCATTTTATATCTTTAATTTTCTGAAATTAGACTTTCAATAATTATCTCAGCTCAACTATGAGATCTTCCACTATTCCAAATAGCTTTTAATTTCATTAATTATCACTAATAACTTCGTAAAAATTAAATATCTACCTAACAACCTTGTTTAAAATTGCACAATAAGAGCGCGGCCTCTGCGCAATTTGATCAAAAACCATCTCGAGGCTTACGCAATTCTCTCCTGGCAGAGGCTACGCCTCACTTGAATTGAGGCGCACCTCAGGGCGCAATTGCGCAATTCTGGCTGAGGCGTACGCCTCAAATATATGCTTAGTATCGCTTAGTATATGCTCGTACCGCTCAGTATATGCTCGGTATAGCTAGGTATTTGCTCGCGTACGCTAGTACATGCCCGGTACCGCTCGTATATGCTCGGTACAGCTAGGTATTTGCTCGGTACTGCTTGGTACATGCTCGGTACTGCTCAGTACCACTAGGTAATGCTCGGTACTGCTCAGTACCGCTAGGTACATGCTCGGTACTGCTAAGGAACATGCTCGGTACCACTCGGTATCTTCCCAAAAAACAACTTACGAACTTCAAAACAAATAGAACTTCAAAATTACTCTTACAATAAAATTTGTTTGGGGGTACCGAGCTGCCCCCGAACCCCGCCAGGGGCGCTGCCCTTGACCCCGCGACCTGACCGGGCAGGTCGAACCCGCCAGAGGGCAGCGCCCCCTTGGACCCGGCAGTCCGGCATATTGTTCTATTCATCATCTTTAGTAAGTTTGTTAGTGTTAGTCTACTTGTTCATGAGTGCATGCTTTGATTGGAAGACATTGGACTCTATAGGAGAGGAGGAAGGGGTGAGAAGATTCCCTTGAAGACCCATTTAGTGATGGGACATGATTGGATTATATATGTTCTTTCTTAATTGTACTTTGGGAGTTTTGATAGACTAATATGTTGTGGTTTTGTACTTTGGGACATGATTTTATTGCATTTATTTTCTTACTTTCCCCTAATTTTAATTGTCATTTAGATGTTTTTGTTGTATGATAGAATCTTACTTTTTTTTACTTGCTAAAAACATTAAATTCTCATTTACGCAATTCTTCGTCGGTGAGGCTTACGCCTCACACCGCCTCGAGGCTTACGCCTCGCCTCACGGACGAAAAACGCCTCGAGGCTTATTTATGCAATTTTAAACCTTGCCTAACAATACTGAATTGATTTGATATCCCTAAGGGAAACTTTAAACACGTAAAACATCTTCTCAATCAATATATATTGAGAAAAGGAACAAAATGGTCTCTCAACTCCGTGAGAGACCAAGCTGGTCCCAAGTCTTTTGAGGGACCAATTTGGTCCGTCAACTCTTTAAAAATTTGCTTTTTTGATCTTAACATTAAATTTTGAGATTAATGGTGTTAAGTCATGGAGTATTTTGATCATTTTTAAATTAAATTATTTATTAAATAATATTTTCAAACAATACTATTTATTTAAAATTTATTAAATATTTCTTTAATAAAAATTTATTAATAATTTTAGTCTATAATGATCCTAAATTAAAACTAGAATTGTTAATAAATTTTAAAAGTAAAACTAGAATTATTAACAAATTTTGTTTATTAGAGAAAAAATTTTATTTTAAAATTCCATTACTTGAAAATTCTATTTAATAAATAATTTAATTAAAAAATGATAAAAATATCCCTTGATTTAACATCATTAATTCCAAAATTTAATGTTAGGATCAGAAAAACCCATTTTTAAGTAGTTGAGGGATCAAATAGTTTGGGACCATTTTGATCTCTCACAAAGAGTTGAGGGACCATTTTGATCTTTTCGTCCATATATATTTTTATGCTTCTTATTTCTCAAATCAATATTTATGATCACAATCTAATATAATTAAAATTTAAAATAGTATTAAATAAATTTAGTTACCTAAATAATTCAAATCTTTCATTCTTCTTTGTTGAAATGGGACTTTCACCCATTAAATTTTCTCATGTCTAAATTTCGTCCTATCGAATTCACATAATTTTGCCTTCCATCAAAATAACCTTATAAATTTTCTTTACTAACTTTGAGCAGAAACATAAATTGAAATTACTTACACTTCTTTTGATGTTGGAAAAAATGAACTTCTAAGACCGAAATTTCTTCCTCTTTCTCTCCAAATTTCTTCCTTTGTACTCAATTGAACTATACACTCATTTCTTAAGTTTAAAGGATGGAAGGATTTACAGTAAAAAAATGAGGAAAATAGAACACAACCTTACTTTTCTTCTCCTTCTTCTTCCTCTCGGCACAGTTTCCTCTTGACACAAAGCTTCTCATATATTTTGCTCTTACAGGAGTGAGCGAACCGAAGACCTGCTGCTCGCAGAGCTGGTTGTCCACGGAAAGAATAGGCCGATTCAGTTGAACCGGATAGGTCTGGTTCTCACATTCATTGTTTAGGAAATAATTAGTTAGTAATTGAAAATTTAATCAACCGTTCGACTATTTGTTTTTGCCTCATTAATTTGAACCTCTGAAGAATTATTCATACAACATTCTTGAACCAATGGAAGATTGCGTTAACTTCAACTTTTTAAAGAAGAGTTATCTTTGATATGAGGAGTGAGTTGATAAGGGGTTTGGCAGTGGAATGCTTTGTGTGGGCTACTTTCCTTGGTTTATGGTGGCAAAGAATGAATGAAGGGTGGCATTTTAGGAGTTGTCTTGGTGAGGTGGTATCATGGTTTAAAATTGCGCAATATGAGGCTCGCCTTGAGGACCGCCTTTGCGCAATTCCAGTAAAAAACACCTCGATGCTTATGCCTCGAATTTTTTTATGAGGCTTACGCCTCATCTTGGTTGAGGCCCGCCTCGCCTCACTGGCATGAGGCCTACGCCTCACGCTATATATATTAAAACTCACATAAATCTTGAAGTAAATGCCCGACATTGGACTCTATAGGAGAGGAGGAAGGGGAGAGAGTAATTCACCATAATGATGATTCAAATGAAGAAGCCCTTAATGATGACAGTGCTGATGACTTATGAGTTCTTATGTGATATGTCATTGCTATTTATTTTTGGAAATCAGAATTATATGTTAATGAAAAGAATATTGGGATTTCAGAAAGATAGAATTTTGAGTTGAATTATATTTCATGTTCTCTTATTATTGAGATATTTTGATTTCACTTCATATCTTATGCTTTTTAATGTTTTATATTATTCACTCATTAGTATATAATAAATTTACCATTTTATGTTTATGCAATCTTTTGATTTTGAGGCTTACGCCTCAAATCGCCTTAAGGCTTACGCCTCGCCTCACGAATGAAAAACGCCTCAATACCCGAATACCCGAATACACAATTTTAAACATTGGGTGGTATAATTATGGAGATGGGAAACAGAAAGAGGGGAGGTACCCCAAAGGTTTTAGGGGTTGACCTTAGCTTTAGTGGTTAGGAGTTGGTGCCCTTTGTGAAGTTAGGGTGGAAGAGAGGAGGTAGGGCCAAGAGCTTCTAAAGGGTTTGGAATTTCTTTGGATGGGTGAAGGAGTGGTGTATATCCGAAATTGGAGGTCTGGAAGAGGGTAATGTGTGGGAGGAAGTTTTGGGGATTGGTAGAGAGAGTCAAGGGGTGTGAAGGCTAGTTGTGGATGGATGGCGTAGCCTAGTATTTGGATAAAGGGATGAGGTCAAGAACTTGTGATGAGTTTGGGATCTTTCGCAAGAGGGTTTGCTTGTTTGAGATGATGTTGAGTGAAGGGAGCTGAAGTTTTTGGGTGGTTGAAGAAGATGGGTTTCGTCTCTAGAATTAAAACAACACAAAGCTTCATATCTCACCAAAATGGATAAATTCACTACCAAGCCAAATTAAAGAATAATCTCTTGAAGTAACTTCTAAATTCATTCGACCTCGCAATAGTCTTTCCAATTACATTTCAAAATACATAAATACATTCCCTCCCTCTCTTTACATTGAATGTTTAAAACAAAAGAATGGTGGTTAACCGGAGGTTCCCTAGAATGGAGGCGGCGGTTTTGGAATATGTGTGAGGTATGTTGGCCAATTCATAATTCTATGGGATGTGCTTGACCATGGCTCTTTGGATGGTCAGACATCTTTTGTAACTCTCTTGGCACGCTTCCTTGAAGTTGGGGAGGTGTTGGTTGATTTGAATGCTCTCCAGTCTCCACAAAAAAAAGTCCCATTAAGGCTGTTTACTCTTGATATTTGCTTGGAATTTTGATCTTGGCTTGCTCCTTTTGATGATATGCTGGCCATATGGGTTTCCTTGGAATATTGCACAAAGCCTAAGTCTATGAGTCTTTGGAACTAATTAACAATACCACGAGAAAGATGTAATAAGCAAATAAGAAATTACAATAGGAATCAAATCTAGATATATGGCACGCAGGGATGTGTCTAATGAGAGATCTGGTGATTGTTCTATGATGTACTAAATTGTATACTTTATGCCCATGCAGAACTATCATGAGATATATATATATAGTTTTGGTTAATATCAAACATTGGGCAAGATCCAGAACTATTCTTTCGTGAATGCAAGAACTCTTTATTTCCATATTTTTCTCTAGGGTATGTGGTTGTTTTTCTTGGTTGATGTGAAGATGTTTCCTCGTTTCTATCAAATTTTCACCATTATTGTATAGAATTCTTTGCTGCTTCACAGATGTCTGCATATGATTTGGAGATAATGTTTGTCTAGTCCTTTTACCAATATTATGCTGTATCATCTGCAGGCTGGTCTAATAAACCTTGAAAACGAGGATTTTACTAAAGAAATAGTGGCTAATACCCTCACCAAATTTCAGGTAAGTTATTTTCTTGTCTAATCATTTATTACATCTTGAGCAGATTATGTTTTGTGCTATTTTGATTATGACTTCTTTTCTTATTTTTATCTTACAATGTGTGAGTATTTAAATATTGGGGCAATTACATACATGACACTCAATTCTTGATTATTTCCAAAAGTAGCACCTTCCTAACTCCACTTTTCAAATTCTCATCAAAATAATGAAATTCACAACAAAATCCTAACCATAATTCTTTGTCAAATTTTCAATGGTTTGATCATGGTATGCGTAAATACATGAATTAGATAGTTTAAAAAGGTGATATGGTTGTCAGATTTGTAAATAGGTAGGATTCGTGTGTTGTGCATGTAAATCTGCCTTCAAATATTTTGCTCTATGTTGTGATGCAACTGTTATTGGAATTTATGCATAGTTTTTTCTCATCAAATTTTCAGTAATATTGTGACATCGCTGTGATTTATTAGTTCCAGGTCATACACGCTCGTTGATATTTTCTCTTTATGTTCAGGATGCCATAGAGGAGGGCAGCTGTGACAGAATTCGTCTATCAATGCGGTTCCTTACTTGTCTGGTAGGTTTATGCTAAAAGTTCGCATATTCCATATGACAACTTTGATCATATGGATTTTTTTGAGAAGCCATCACTATTCAAATTTATCTCTAGCTGCACTATACACTTTCTTTAAAATTATTCCATAATACTTCATCTGTAATCAAATTTGATCAACTTATTTGCTTCATTGTTTAAAATATGTTTGTTTGCTACTCTAATTCTATCAAAGTAAATTTCTTTGTTACTTATCTCATTGTTTTAATTGCTATAATTGTTTAACATGTCAATGTATCTATATGAAACTTTGTCTGGGGTGTGAAAAAGATGAATACTGCTCATATTGTGAGTGCAACTAGGTTGAGAGCTTGATTTTCTGATACAATTATACAACCTTGTTGAATTATTTTATCAGCCTTGATGTAGATTTGCCAATGATCCTCCTGAATCTCCGCGTACTTACTATGACATTGCCATGTCCTTTGCCCATCCTGGAATAATCTGCAAATCCATGAATGCCTAAGTATTTGAAAATTAATATAGAGTTATCCTAATAGCTTAGGAGAGTTGTCTTTTGAGTTTATTTATGTTTAGATTTTTCAATCACCATTGCTCAAAAGATTGTATTTCGGTGGATTAGATTGAGTGAGAGGCTAATCCAACAAATGTGAACTATATTGCTAATTGTTTTTGTAGGAACTTTCTAGGTTGGGAAATGTTATAACAGGAGTTGTCAGATTTGGAAGTTATGCTTTTATTAATTTTATAGCCTCATGAATGAAGATATTCTCTGCTTTATTCAAATTTTTTTATTTGAATGCTTATATTTTGGTCCCTTTATTTAATTGTGATGTAGGATTAGGTATGATTTAAATGATTGTAATAAGAATTTGCACGCTTTTAAGTAAGAGCAATTAGAATTAAAACGTTATCCACTTTAACGATAATATAAAACAAAAGAAGGGCACACTGAGGAAGCGACTTTTGAGTTCAAAAGAGGATTTGTACTTTCCAAATGAAAATTAGTTAGAACCCGACATAGCATCACAGATGGAGCATGTGAGATTGAGTAGTGACTTTGAACCTGCGATAGAACCTTCTAAAACTATAATGGTTGACTCTGAAGAATACGCCTCATCAGGTGAATCTGAATCAGATGAGGTGGCTCAAGCATAGTTTAGGAGTGAAAAGGTACTGCCATCTCCACTGAAAAAAGGAGTCTAATAAGGACAAGGGAAAAATAGTTATCAATGAAGAAATCATTTCTAAAGACTCGAAGAAGAGACCTCTTTCAAACAAGGGGGTAGATTATAACATCTTATCCCACTTAAAAAAAAATCTAGCGCAACTCAGCATAAATGAGATCTCTTAATGTTTGAAGATCTTCGAGAAACTTTGATTCAGACTCTTGAAAGTCTCGACAAAATATGAAGCCTATTTCACTGAATGTTGTATGACTGAAGTTCTGCAGGCTCGGAATGAACTAATCATCACTTTTGTTGATGAAGACCTAATACTTGGAACGACAAATCATAATCGCCCTCTGTATGTTACCACAACGAGTGATGACAACATGATAAGCTGAATCTTGGTCGATCCGGGGTCTTTTATAAATCTCTTAAGCTTGAAAGCACTTAGATCATTATCCCTTGACATGCAACACCTTGGACAAGATAAGCTGACTGTACATGGTTTTAATGAGAAGGGACAAAAGACTATGAGATCATTCATACTCCCTCTCGTGTTTGAAGAACTTTACATAGAGGTCAAATTTCATTTGATTGATGCAGACACTTCATTTAGGGTGCTTCTGGGTCGCCCATGGTTGCATGAATATGGTATTGCCCTATCAACTCTGCACTAGTGCATGAAATATCTCAGAGATGGAGAGGAGTTCATAGTTTCGAGTGATATTTAGCCTTTTGTAGTTCATGAGGTAAAAATATTTGAAGATGCAAAATCTTTCTTTCCAAAGGAGTAAATTACATCAAACTCTTTTAAAGCCAATGCATCAAACTCAAAAGATGTAAAGTTATCAAAATAGAAAGTTGAGAAAAAGCAGGTAGGGAGAAAGAAGACAATGCCGACTCTTTCTAAACAAGCTCTTGTGCCCAAACCAAGAAGAACTGTGCCTCCTTTGTGGAGTGATATAGAAGATGACGTCATCCCTGTTGAACTGAAAAAGCTTCCCAGCCTTTAATCAAAAGAAAGAAGACGGAGTGCTCAGATTTTGATTATGAGTACGAGTCTACCTATGCAAGCAATGTGCATTGTACCTTCTTAAGGAGAATGGGTGACTTGTTGATCTCAGAAAACACAATCATGGTTACGCCTCTAGTTCCACGACATTTTAAAGTCTCTCTCGTGAGGTGCACAACATCGAAGAACTCAAAATGTTTTACACACCTCCCCTAAGAAAAAATACTAGACCAGGAAGTCTATTATATAAATCCATAGATCATCTAGAAGAAAATTTTGATTGGCTTGTCGAGCTTATCGATTTTGTAGAGAGAATTCCTAGAAGGATGCCTAGGTATTATCCCAAAACAATTCGGAGGTTGATGCGTAAACAAGGGTTTCATGTCAATGTCACTAAACGACGAATTCGTCTCCTTCTAAAGCTATGGTATGCGAAAAGTCTTATCATATCGCGAAAAAAGGATATCTTTACAAGAAGTGGTGTCAGACTTATTGTACGAAAGTATCCCTAGAAGGAGATTTATTGTGCAATCACATGTGGGGAAGTTGAATTCGATGACACCAGCGAGGCAGAGCTCTACGAAATCATTCTCTAAGATGATCTTCCCGTAGAAGCTAAACCTGCACCAAAAGAGCTTGAATATGGTGGACATGCTGCTATAATGGATGAGCTGAAAAAAGTTAACTTGTGGACTGAAGAAGATCCTCACCCGACCTATATCAGTGCCCTTCTCCCCAAAAACTAAGTTGAAGAAATGAAAGAACTTTGTGAATTCATGAATTACTTTACCTGGAATTATACCTGGATTTATGCTGAAATGTATTTTTGGGGTCTTCTTATAAAGATGAATCATCTCAAATGTCCTTTTGGGGCCTCCTCAGGTAATTTTTTGGGATGCGTCATTTGTCATCGTGGAATTGAAATTGACAGCAGAAAAATCAAGGCAATTATGGAGATGCTGCCGCCAAAGAACCTTCGATAACTACGCTTGTTGCAAGGGCAGTTAGCTTTCATTCGATGATTCATCTCAAATATGTCGGGTCGATGACAACCATTTTCAAAATTGATGAAGAAAGATGTTCACTTCAAATAGGAAGGACAATGTCAAGAGGTTTTTGACAATATTAAAATATAACTGTTTAGCCCGTCCATTCTTGCAACACCAATTTCGTGAATGTTTCTTATACTGTATACAATAGCACTAGAAGAGTCCATCGAAGCACTGCTAGCTTAGCATAATGATGAAGGTAAGGAGAATGGATTCTATTACATTAGTCAGAGGGTGATTGGAGCAGAGATACATTATTCTCCAATTTAGAAACACTGTCTAATGCTGATTTTCGTTGTATAGAAACTCTGCCACTATATGATGTCTCATAAAATTACGTTGATATCAAAGATCGATTCGCTGAAATTTTTAATGACAAGGCCAGAGTTGACAGGTCGTTTAGCCAGATGGACAGTGGATTTTTTCTTTAGAAGAAAATAATTTCTTTTTTCTTATGGATGATTGGTTATAGAGGGTCTGTTTTGTTCTTAACTTTGTTTTGACTCATCCAGCCTATTCACTATATGCCTTGTGCTTATTTCGCTTTAGGGGGTTGGTTCACAGGTACAACTTTTGGAATGGTATACAATTGGCCAATTCCTATTGGTTGTAATTTCTTAACGGCTGCGGTTTCTACTCCTGCAAATAGTTTAGCACATTCTATACATCTGCAATTTGATATCAGGTATGTTTCACAAAAGACAGTAAATGGGCAAGTGTTAGTTGATTTTTTCGCTACGCATCCTATTCTTGTAGAGTCACCACCATGGTTTAAAATTGCGCAATATGAGGCTCTCCTTGAGGCCCGCCTTTGCGCAATTCCAGTAAAAAATGCCTCGATGCTTACGCCTCAAGTTTTTTTTATTAGGCTTGCGCCTCAACTTTGTTGAGGCTCGCCTTGAGGCCCGCCTCGCCTCACTGGCATGAGGCTTACGCCTTACGCTATATATATTAAAACTTACATAAATCTTGAAGTAAATGCCCAACATTGGACTCTATAGGAGAGGAGGAAGGGGAGAGAGCAGTTCATCATAATAATGATTCAAATGAAGAACCCCTTAGTGATGACAGTGCTGATGACTTATGAGTTCTTATGTGATATGTCATTGCTATTTATTTTTGGAAATTTGAATTATATGTTAATGAAATGAATAATGGGATTTGGGAAAGATAGAATTTTGAGTTGAATTATATTTCATGTTGTCTTATTAATGGGATATTTTGATTTCACTTCATATCTTATGCTTTTTTATGTTTTATATTATTCACTCATTAGTATATAAAAAATTTATCATTTCATGTTTACGCAATCTTTTCATTTTGAGGCTTACGCCTCGCCTCACGAATGAAAAACGCCTCAATACCCGAATGCGCAATTTTAAACATTGATGGGGCCTATGTATAGCGGTGCAAAGGAAATGTTAGTCCTTGATGGGTTGGTCGACTATGCATTTGATAAATAAGCTAGTCATTCTGGGAAGAACAATTAATTTAATGGAAAATGAATTGTACCCACATTTACTAAAAAGGGATGCTGAAAGTTATTTTACATTGTTTTACACTTTTACTAATTTTAGTAAATTAATATTAATAACAATTAATTATAATTAATTAAAGTTAATTATAATTAATGTTTTAATGTTTATTTATTATTATTAAATATAATTAATCATAGTTAATTAAGATTTTTTCTAATAAAGTATTTTTAATTATAGTTAATTAATATTAATAATAAATAGTTATAATTGATTAAAGTTAATTATAATTAATTAATTATTAAACATAATTAATTTAATTAAATAAAGTAACAAAAAAAGAGAAAAGAAAACATTCTTTTACCTCGATCTACGTGTTGACACCGTTGTCATAGCCTTCGACCTCGACATTAGCATCGCTGACGACCCATGTGTAAAGGTTTAATGTTCAAAATCCTATCCTCGATGTGCGTGACATGGCAGTCAGCCACCTATACACGCTTTTCTTAGCATGGTAGGAGGAAACCCGGTACGACAAGACCAATATGCCCTGTACACATTTTTCTTAGGGTGGCAGGGATAATTTTAAGTAGCCTTATGCGCCACAATGCCTGTGTGGAAATCACTATGCATTTTTATTACTGCTGGAAAGGATCCTTTTGTCAGGTTGGGTCGATGCAACCCATGAACGATGCAACCCATGGCTGCTGATAAGGATCCTTTTGTTAGGTTGGGTCGACTATCTCCTCTGACTAAGTAGACCAGGGACCACGATGGCCTAGGACGAGGGAACCATGGGATCTTGATCGGGCTTATCTTCACTCTCCCCACCATCTGCTTTATGTGCAAGATGGTGAAATTTTCAATATTTAAATATCAAATATTCAAATATCCAAACCAATACTGCTACTATATGCCAGATGTGCATTCTCTACGAATATGAAGACTAGCCTTAATCGAAAGTTCATTCTCATGGTCGAGAGGGGTAACTAACTATAGGGGTTTGCACCTATATGAAACCAGAACTCAGTTCATTAAGTCCTTACAAAATGAGGGCGAAATCTCAGGGTAGTGTCTTATTTCAAACATAATTTGCCTTCCCAAAATTTCTTCTGGAATATAATCCGTTAAACCAATTCCCGAAAAGCAAAAAGCGAAGTAGCACAGGGAGGCCTGGGCGCGAATTTTTAGAGCCCATAACCATGTTAAGGGTAACATGTAGGATGGATTAAGGAATTGCAGACCTACGGTTATATGGATAGCGATTCTTTAAAAAAAATTGCGAAGAATGTATTTAACTTCTCAGACAACACTTTAGAGGAACAAAATGAAATTGATGATTCGTAAAGCTGATCCCAAATATAATTTGGATAAGGCTAATTATGATGATGAAAAACTTGTTAGAGGGATGCTAGTGTAGAAGCTGACTTTGTTATGATAATTGTAGGTGGGTTTTAATTCTTTTAATCATTTTTTGAAATAACCTGGCGTTTTTTGTTGTGGGTGTCAGCTGTTTTATTGTTAGAGCACTGCTGACTCTTGCATCATCTTGGCCAAGCTTTAGAATTCCTTGATGCCATTCTTCCCATGTCTTTTCGTACTTTATATCAGCCTATCCTCATAGGTCATAGGTTTATGTTTGGTCATATTTTTTTTTTCAAGCCTTGCTTTTTTAGCCTTATTTTACCTGAATTACTTCAGTTAATCTGTTGTAGTTTCTTACAGACACTATCATCATGCAGCATGGTTTAAAATTCTGTCTCAAATGTCATACATTCTATAAATTTTCTGTGACATGTAATTGCCTTGTTAGATTTGTTACTTGGAGAACAAACATTGAAGAGTACAATTATAAGTAATAACAAAATTATCCATATTTGACTAATGATGGTTTGATTAATATCAACAGGTTACTTGTCATACCTTTTTTAAAGTTGTTCAACGTAATTTAATATTAAGCTATGTAAGGTACATAAGATGTCTAAGAGTGGGAGAGGTTGGGCTTTAGCCTGGGTTTGGTAATTATATATGATATTATATTCTATCGTTATTTGATTGGGTTTTCCATTTTTTTATTTGTTTAAGTTATTGACATCCATTAATGCCTCCTAGTATTATGTCAACAAGCTTTTTTTTTTGGATTTTCTTTTGCTTGCTAAATGTTAAGATCGTATTTTTCAGGCTTATAATCAAAATACTTATTTACCTATAACTTTAAGTTCTTTCCAGTTTCATAATAGTTTTATTTAAACCCCTGCTCCCTCGAATGTATTTGTTTGAAGTTATGAAAGAGATTTTCTTGTTTATATTAGGTTTTGTTTCTCTTTGTGTAGATGTGCAGTAATGTTATATCCCCAAATTCTATAATAGAAATCTTTGAGACGTTGTTGTCATCTGCTGCGACCACAGTAGATGAGGAATCAGGGAATCCCTGTTGGCAGGCACGTGCTGACTTTTACATTTCATGCATCTTGTCTTGTCTTCCATGGGGTGGTGCCGAACTTAATGAGGTGAGTTACCATTTTTATATTAAACTCTTTTAAGTAAAATTCCAAGATGATTTCTGCTACATAGTGGTTCTCATCATCATTATTGTTAGTATAACCAAGTTCTTAAACATGCTCTAGCTAGTTCATTAATTTTTATTATTATTTTTTTCAATTTAGCATAGTAACATAATTCTTTTCTCTTATAATAGTGGTGGAGGAAGTGCGAGATTTTACTGTGAATTTCCTTAGATGGTTTTTTGGGTTCTGTAAATTGAATTGCAGCTAGCTACATTGCTGGTCCTAGTATCCCAATGAGTTCAACATAGTGGTTTTTGGTTTTAATTGGTTTGGTGATGTGCCACTAACTTGATTATTCAGAGTTCAGACCATGTCATGTACATATAGTTGTGGTCTCAAGTGCTTTCTTGCAAATTGTTCTTGGATCTCTTTTCTTTTTTTCATTTTTATTGTGGCATTGATGTGATTTCTAGGACTTGCTTCCAAGTTTTTCTTCATATTCCTTTATTATTGCCACCTGATTTTCTCGGAAATATTTGATTGAAGAAATGGCTGTGCTATTAAATTGGTTGTGTTGAATAATCGTAAAAAATTCTATATCTTAAGATTTTTTTAGGGCCAGGTACTGGATGCTCCTATTTCTTCTCTTGAATATTGAAAATATTTCTTTAGATGTGTTGTCAGGTACAGAGGCATTGAGATAGGCCCTTCTATGATTAAAACAATTTTAGCTCTACCTGTAGTTATCTCTGGCAACACTATTCTTGACTATTAAGTCTGTTATCTTCCGTGCTTTGAGTCGATATATAGAAGTTTCTTATTCATTCAATTTACTTTTCTTCCTTCTTCAGTGCTTATCCTCTTCAAAGCTACCTAAGCAAAAGGTTCAAAATTCCCTGAAGTTTAATATTCTTCGAATGCTCCATGACCACCTGGATAAGAATGGTCTCACAAATGCATTATTCATATATTTCTGCACTTGTTCTTCACGTATGTTGAAGATGTAGAATCATGCAAGCTTATGCATATTACTAAACATTCCATTATGTTTCAACTGTCTTTTGTTAATGCATAGATATATTTTAGCTAGTTCTTATGTTTCTTATTTTGTACTTTTATTTTATTTATTTATTTTATTGAATTTTCACCACTTAAATTGTTTCTTATTTTGTACTTGAATTTTTTTCTGTATATTATTAGGTTTCCATGAGTAGATTTATGATAGAGGATTTTGTGCTTCTATTTGCTTAACAAGATGCATACGGATTTAATAATGAATTATAAAGTAATAAAGGGAATGAAGCATGTGATGAAAGATTGTTATGTGGCTGATTAGAAGTTTGCTATTCAAGTAAAGAAAAATATAAGAAACGGGGAAAGCTTCTTGCACCTGGATTTGATTAATTTATTTTTTTAGGCATTATGATATAACCGTGGTACCTCCTTGCAGCAAGTTCCAGACGAATTCGAGCGAGTCATGGTTGGTGTACAATCTTATTTGAGCATTCGAAGGCATTCTCATGATATCCTTTTTTCAGTTTTTGATACAGGTGGTGACAATGCTCTTGATAGAAAGGTATTCTTTTTAACCTTTTATTGTGCGATTTTCGCAATTTATAATAAATTGTTCATGCATCGCAAACCTGTTTTGAACTATCTATTTTCTTTCATTCTTCATCTCAGTTGGTCGAGTAATTTGTCTGACAGCCCTGTCCATTGTTGGACATTCTGTGGCCTACTTTTAATCTCCTGCCTTCTGATCTTGAAAGCAGATTAAAATGAGTTTTATTGAGTATTACCCCTTATACCTAGCCTTGCCAAAAAGTTACAGTAAGCCCAAATGGATTTTTGTTGTGATATTTCGTGTTGTCTTACTATCCACTTTGTACCCAATATCCTCATACCATGTCAGATTATGGGAGCTTATGTTGGTAATTAATGACAGGCATCTTTTGACAATCTATAATTTCTTTAAACTTGAGTCCATATTAACTTGGCATGGTATTTTGTATTATTTTATTTCTGTTTTTGGGATAGTTTTGACTTGGAAAGCTGATGGGGTTTTTACTTGGTTTGACCAAGCCTACTAGTACATTGACGGGCCCACCTGTTTATCAGATTATATATGATTTGAACCTAATAATATCGTATTAGAATTTGTGCATGGTCGATTAGAAGTCTGGTAGAGGTTGTTGTGAATGGTGAAGGTGGAGGCAAAACAAAGGAAGATATTTGAAGAAGAATTGGGGGATAAGGGAGAAAAAATGATGCATGGGGTGTGTGTGTAGAGTTGGGGGATTATGATATTGTCTATAGATTGGCAGGTTGAATTAGAAAACCTAAGGATTGTTAAGGGAAGAGGAGAACTAGAAGAGGATGAAAGAAGATGGAGATCGAGAAAAAAATTCAAATAAAATAAGTAGTAAAAGAATTCAATAAAGTGGGGTTGATGCATGATGTCTTAGGGTCTTGTACTCACTAGTGCAAACCCAGGACGACTCCCCCAACACCCACAGAGAAAAAAAAAGGGAAAAAAAAAGACAACAACAACGGATCAAAATTGAGATGTTTCCAATCTTTAATTTAGGCAAATATTAGTAGCTTTTGATGTGGAATCGGAGATCAAATACTTAATTTATTACAAACGATAGTATAAAGTTGTCAAAATCTGAGAACAAATATAAAATTCCACCATGATTAAAATTTGCTCCACAAAATGGAAATTAACATATGACAAATTTGGCTAAGTCTCAATCACTCACACAATTCAATCACAAAATAGTTATAAAATTCAATTTTTTTTATTGCAAAGCTATGACATATTTAGAAATTTCCATTACAATTTCTTGAAATAAGAGAATTCATAAACTCCATATAAAAGATAGCCATTTCATTGATCCATAGATTTCTTTTTATTTTTATTTTTATTGGTTGATTAGTTGATTGCTTGATTCTCCAAATAAATATCTTAAAAAGGAAATATGGAATCAAATTGTGCAAGAAAAGATAAAAAATAAGAAGCTTTGTTATAAAAATAAGTGGATGAGATATTTCAATAAGCCTTTTAATGAAGATTGTAAGAATACGATTGACTTTAGTGGCCTTAGTACCCTCAATGTAAATAGGGAATTTTTTTTGTCATCGTATTAGTAAAATTGAAGTTAGAGAGACTTTAAAGAAAATGAAATGTGGAAAAGCTATTGTACTTGAATATATTTCAATAGAGGTGTGAAAATGCTTAGAAGATGAAGAAATTTCTTAGCTTATGAAGCTTTTCAATATTATTTTGAAGACTAAAAAAATACTAAATGAGTGTGGAAAGAATGTGTTGATTCCTATTTTTAAGAATAAAAGTAATGCACAAGAGTGGGAATTATAAAGGAATTAAATTAATGTGGCATACATTAAAACTATGAGAGAGAGTTGTTGAGCATCATTATAATGTGATTGATATAAATGATGACTCAAAATCAATTTGGATTCATTCCAGATAGGTCTACTATAGAAGCTATTCATTTATTGAGAGGTTTGATGGAAAAGTATAGAGAGAAGAAGAAAGATCTATATATGATATTTATTAATTTAGAGAAAGCATATAATAAATTTTCAAGAGATATGCTTTGGAGAGTTCTAGGAAAGAAAAGAGTTAATAATGCTTATATTCAAGTCATTAAAGATATGTAAGAGTTATTACTTGTGTTCAAATACTAGGTGGTTTGACCAAGTATTTTTCTATTGTAGTTGGATTACATCAAGGATTAGCTTGAAGCCCACATGTTTTTGCTTTTGCAGGAGCTGGTTCAACCGGTTCATCCATACTGTCTCCTACTTAACTAAGCACCGATGAACGGGCAACACGTGAGTGGGAGGTATCTGGCATCAGATCATACAATCGAGCAAGGAAATGCACATGGGAGTGAAAAGCAGTGTTTCCTCACATGAGATATCTTTGTTTCACTCACTCCAATGAAAGTAAAAGAACAAACGGAAGCTTCAGCCTAAAGAAACCGACCGAGAGGAAGAAGAATAAGCAGGAAGGTAGGTTTTCTAACTTCATTCATTTTGCACAAATTTTTTCCATGATTTAAACCTACGAAAGGATTAGTTGTCTTAAGTGAAGGCAGAGGGAGGAATTGGGAGAGATAGAAAAGGAAATTTGGAAAGAAGAAAATTTTTGGAAAGGACAAAACAAAGAGCTCCTATTTCTGACGACGGAGGAAAGAGTAGGTGATTTAAATTAATAATTTATATTCAAAATTATTATCTTATATTTCTGTAATTGACGAAATGATAGGTGATTGTCAGATAAAAGAACAAATCTAGTGATGAGTCTCAATTTTAAAGAGGAAGGAATTTTTAATCAAGGTAATTAGTTTTGGCCTATATTAAAAAAGATAGAGATAGACCTAAAAAGACTTGGTTATAAAATATTAAAAATTACGTTTTTTTATTTGATTTATATGAAAATTAAACTCTTAATAGGGCACAACATCAAGCCTTTGTCCCACAATTGTTTCATGTCATGATTATTCGATAAGTTTTATGCTGGCTGTCGACTACCTAACGCAACCCTCCATTTTTTTCATCCAGGACTTAAGACCTGGCAACGACAGTGTTTTATATGCATAATGAAATTAAAGTTTGAATTCTTTTCTAATTTATGTGATGATCATAGTGAAAATCAACTTATTCTATGATGATTGTGATCATGTTGACAACAGATCAATTTTCAAATTATGAAACTTTCTATAATTGGATGATGCTTGTTTTTTTTCTATGTTTGCATTTTGATAATGTTGATAATCAATTATGATGATGGCATGCACAAACTTTCCAAAATATAAAACTTACCATGTTGAAGAATTTGTATTTTTTTATTATGAAATGACCCTACTTATTTTGTAACAACATCATTTTTCTGCGCTTTCTTCAGTTAACATGCCTAAAATGGTGTACTATTGCATTGAGGGAAATATTTTCTAATTTTCATTATTTAAAAGATTGACAAAAGAATTTGGCATTTTAAAATAATTAATTTCTTTATTAGAGGTTTTTTTGGCGACTTATGACAGTAACATTTATTTGTTTCCATAATAGTTTATATTGGAGGAGAAGATCAAAAAATTAAATTTTTGGATATGAGTTCTAAATTAAATTTTTTGAATGACTTAGAAGAATTATTACAAAAGATACCTCTTGGAAAAAGAGTTTTTATTGGAGGAGATTTAAATGGTCATGTTGGTAGAGAGGTAGATGATTTTAAAAGCATTCATGGTGGCCATTGTTTTGGGACAACAAATGATGGTGGCAAGACCATATTAGATTTTTGTTTAGCGTATGATTTTTCAATTGCTAATACCTTATTTAAGAAAAGGAATGAGCATCTCATCACTTATAAAAATGGATATAGTACAACCCAGATTGACATTTTCTTATAAAAAAATTATATCGTTTAAATAGCAAAGATTGTAAAGTTATTTCGAGTGAAAATTTATATACATTATTAGTTTTGGACTTTAAGATAAAGGTGCAGAAAATAAAAAATAAAGTAAACGATATGTGGGAAAAAGTGGCTAGTGATATTAAGAATATTGCAAAAGATGTTCTTGAAATATCAAATGGAAAAACTCATAATAGTAAAAATAGTTTGTGGTGGAATCCAAACTTGCAAGAAAAGATTAAAAATAAGAAGATTTGTTATAAACATTGATTTAATTTTTAAAATTCTGATAATTGGGAAAGATATAAATAGGCTCGTAAGGAATCTGAGAGAGCAATATGTGATGCAAAGACCTTAGCTTTTAGTGATTTATATAATAGATTAAATACTAAGGATGAAGAAAGATATATGTATAAGTTAGTCAAACAAAAAGATATGAGTAGTAAGGATTTAGTTCAAGTGAAGTGTATTAAGGATGAAGATTAAAAAATACTTTTCTTAGAAGATGATATTCAACAAAGGTAAATGAGATATTTTGCTAGACTTTTTAATGAAAATTATGAAAATAAGATTGACTATAGTGATCTTAGCTCCCGAATGAAAATAAAGATTTTTGTTTTTATCGGCGTATTAGTAAAACCGAAGTTAGAGAGGCTTTAAAAAAAATGAAGGGTGAAAAATCTATTGGACCTGATGATATTTCAATAGAGGTGTGGAAATGCTTAGGAGATAAAAAAATTTCTTGGCTTACCTCTGTTTAAAATTGCGCAATAAGAGGCGCGCCTCTGCGCAATTCGTCCAAAAACCGCCTCGAAGCTTACGCAATTCCATCCCTGGCAGAGGCGTACGCCTCACATGGATTGAGGCGCGCCTCAGAGGCGCTATTGCGCAATTCTTAGTGAGGCGTACGCCTCATGGGAATGGACCCACCCACTTAAAATGAATATTTTTTTCTCCTTAAACCCGCACGACAGCAGCTCCTCCTGAATTTTTCCTACCCGCACGGCTCCAATTCGCGAAACAGAGAGCTCCCGCACGGTCCTTACCCTCTAACTTTCCTTCCTGCCGCTTCTCCCGCCGGCGCCGCCTCTCTCCGGCGAAGTTGAAACTTCTGGCCACCCTCTAGGAGTACTCCACATTGGATTTTAGGTATTTTTTTTTTAGTTTAGGGTTAGATTTTTCAAGTGTAAGAAAATCTAAGGTATATGTTTTTTTATTGTAAGAAAAACCCTTAATTTCTCATTTACGCAATTCTGTGTCCGTGAGGCTTACGCCTCAGACCGCCTCGAGGCTTACGCCTCGCCTCACGGACGAAAACTGCCTCGAGGCTTAATTACGCAATTTTAAACCTTGCTAAAATCAAGAATAGTTATACCACAGGACAAAACAAAAAACAAAAAAAAAATACCCAAGAACAGGCAAGAGGCTCTGCACAGCAGAAAAGATGGCTATGACAACGCTTTAAAAAAAATTTACGCACAAAGGATCAAACCTTCAAGAATGCAATGCAGGAACCTAATCGCCATACATCACACAGCAGATATCAGTTTAGAATGATAAAATGCAAAACTCCTTCTTAATCAACCCCTTCTAGGATCCATCTCAAAATACTACACCAAGAGCTACAACAGATGAAATGCATAACCAAAAAAAAACAAAAAAAACATGCTAACGTTATGATGAAAGTGTGCCAGAATGATAAATAAGAAACCATTGAGCAGAGGAATTTACTGTTAAAATAGAATTTAACACTGCCCCCCAAGATAGATCCACCCTGCAATTCATAGTTTTCTGTAATTCCTTTAAAAGCAATTCAGCACTTTCACGCATAATACTAAGTTAACTGTGGCAGATATGAGGATGCTCAGGTGGATGAGTGGCTTTACCCGTAGAGATAGGATACGAAATGAGCATATACGTGAAAAGGTTGGAATAGCTCTAGTTGAAGATAAGATTAGAGATAGTCGCCTTAGATGGTTTGGCCACATAAAACAGCGCCCTTCCAATGACCCGGTTAGGAGAGTAGATGTATTAGATTTGACTTATGTTAAGAAAGATAGAGACAGACCTAAAAAGACTTGGTAAATATTAGGAATGACCTTTTTTATTAGATTTAAACGAGAATTTGACCTTTAATAGGACACAATGGAGAAAAAAGATTCATGTAGCTGACCCCACGTAGTGAGATAAAGGTTTGATGTTGTTGTTGTTGTTGTTGCATATTAGTTTATATTGTATTTGCTTCTTGGTGATATTTGTTCCTTCTGACATTTTGTCATGCCATGATTTATTTGTAAGGGATATTGTTAATGGTGTTATTATGCAAATTTCATTGCATTTGTTAGGTATTGCATTTGTTAGGTATGTTACATACATACAACATATATTAAGAATATTGAACTTTAATGTTATATTCTTTTATACATGTTTTCAAGTGCAAATTTCTGGCTGTTCTTAGTTTTCTACTAATTTCTATGCGGTCTTCCTTTCAGGATTTTCTAGAGGATTTATGGGATCGTATTCAGGTTCTTTCCCATCATGGTTGGAAAGCTGATAGTGGTAATGCTCTTTAGCTCTTTCTTTTGTGAATGACATCTGAATCACTTTATTTTCTTTTTTACATACTATCACACTATCATATTATATCAGAACATTGTTGTTTGTTTATATTTATTTCAGTTATCTGGGTACTATTTGACTGTACTTGATTAAATCATTGTGAAGCTTTTCAATGCACTACTGTGTTTTATTTGATATTTCGTAGTTTAGAATAGCAATAACTAATATTTTATCAAGGTGGGTCAGATTGCATCGTAAGTTTGGAGTTATCAAAGTTAATTTCAGGCTTCTTCATAATTTATGTTCTTTAAACGATGATAATGTCCCCAATTTTTCAATCAAAAGAAAATGTCAAACTGGATTAATCAATTTCCCTTCTTGAAATTCCATAAAAATGATTAGAATTTGACTCTTAATAAGACATTATGGAGGAAAAAAAATTATATATCTGATCCCACGTTGTGGGATAAAAACTTGTTGTTATTGTTGTAAACTATCTCTAAGCATTACACTGTCAAAGATACCTTTCCTATTAAATTTATTGTTGTTATTTAGCAAACTAGTGTATCAAGGTGAAGATAGACAGTAGGGGATAGTTTACATGTATACGTTGGAGGTTGGATGAAAACGGAAGAATATACCATTGATTATATTTAGCTAGTTGAGTTTTTTTTTGTTTGTGCGTGGTATGTACTTGCAAAATACATATAAAATTTGGAACAAATTCTATATTATCGTTGACTAAAAAAATAAGAAAAAAGGGAGAGGGAAAGTTTTGAAATGAATATACTATAGCAGTTGTCCAATGAACAGAAGCATCGTTTTAGAAACAAGGCCTCCATTCGATACAATGCGTGCAATCGATCGATAAATACACGAGAAAAGAGAATAAAAGACTTACACCCATTTTAGTTTCAAAGTCCCATTCCTCCCTCACTTCCACTCTGAACCCGTCACTGAACTTCCCCATCGGCCTACTTGTCTCCCGTACGCATAAATGCACGCTCTTTCTCGATCGGACCTCCTGTTCCGATCAAACTGCTGCTCCATCCAAGTGTTGGCTTCCCTATCTTCTGCTTTGACCCAGTCCCTGTTCTTCCTCACCCAATCGGCAACCTCCTTGCAGCTCCGGCCTTCTGCTTATACACACAAGCCTAGTCCACATCTCCCACATGAACTCAGCGTTCACACCTCCCTCACATGTTTGTGATTCCCCTCCAATCTCCTCATGCTGAGCTGCCTCTCCTGTTCATGCAAATGCATCTGTGGTTTGCGTTCCTCACTCTCATGTTCGGCCTATACTGCAGCTCCTAATCAGTCTGCATAAATTGCATGTACCGACTTCCCTTGCCTTTATTTGGATCACACCGCCCAACTAATCCGCCTACGTGTAGTGTCCTGTTCATGCCTACCTAGGTGGTTTGTCTATATGCCCTTTCTCCTATTTCAGCAAGTATGAAGAGCAGAGGATTATTTTGTAATAAAAAAAAGGGATAAAGATGTTAATAAATTTGAATAAAACAAAAGTAGGTGAAAGATATTTGACGAAGACTTGTGCCATCGATCTTAGATCCGACCAGGAAGATTTTAATTGAAGCCATTGTTTCGTCGATCTTAGATCTAGTCGAGATGATTGTAAATCGAAGCCCTCGCGCTGCCGATCTTAGTTCGACCGGGAAGATTTCAACGACAGATTCCATCCTCACCTCCCCTCACAGGGAGAGAACACCAGTAGACTGTCAAAGTCGCTTCGAAAGACTAATTTTTTATTGTTTAAAAGAGAATTTGATAGCGATTAATTATCAGTTAATTAACTAATTCAATTAATTAGTTAATTAAGGGAATTGGGGAGCAATGATTAATTTATTAATTAATAGTGGTTAGTTAATTAAATTGAAATTAAATACTAATTAAATAGTTAATTGTATTAATTAATTAGACATTTATGGAGAGCGATACTTTGTTATTTAATAATTATTAATTAATTTATTGGAATTATTGAAATACATAATAATCAAATAAATTAGAGAGCAATTAACTAATTAAAAAAATAATATTTTTAATTAGTTAATTAATCAATTGATTAATTAATTGTTTAATAAATTAATTAATTGAAAGAGAATACAATTAATTAAAAATATTTTTTTAATTAATTAAAAGAGTGCAATAAAATTTATTATTAGTTAATTAATTAATGCAATGTTTAAAATTGCACAATTGGGTATTGAGGCGTTTTTTTGTTCATGAGGTGATGCGTAAGCTTCAAGGCATTTAGAGGCGTAAGCCTCAAAATAAAAAAAATTGCATAAATTGATAATAAATGACAAAAATAAAATTTTAATATAATACCTAAATAATATGTTAAATGATGATGTATTAACTTCCTATTGAATTATGAATTAACAAATTGACATACATTTGAAACAAAAAATTGCATAAGATATAAAGTGACAAATGATAAATTGCGTGAAATAGAATTAAAATTTAAATATTATAAGAGAAAATAATATTAAATATTTAAATTGCATAAATGTATCATATAATATTAAGTTTAACTCCAAATTTCTGCTTTCTCTATTCTCTATTCATTTACATTTAATTCCTGATAAAAGTTGAAATTGTTGGCAACAACTTAGGAATCATCTGCATTATCAGCACTAAGGTAGTCTTTATCTGAGTTGTTGCCATAACAAATTGGTCCACCCCTTATCTTATTTAGTAGAGTTGAATGCCTCATAATATTCTTCTTTTTTAATTTATTTCAATAATGTTCATGTTTTAAAAATATTTCATCAACCTAAAGATGATATTAATGATTCAAAATTTTTAGGGTGCTGGCGTGTGTCTTTCAAGTGATTGTTGGTGATCGCTACGACAGCATTGGCTGTGGTGAAGGTCGCAGGCTGGAGGTACAGGCAATCGAGAGGAAGTTTTTGTGCTCGAATGTGCATGAAGGCGTGACTTATGTTAGTTTTAACAAAAGAGTGATACAAATAGGGTGAGACGTAAACCTCACGCTTGCGAGGTGAGACAGGCCTCCTAAAAAAACTAAAAGCTTAAGTCTTGAGGCATTTTTCACTAGAATTTAGCTGAGGCGGGCCTCAAGGTGATCCTCATATTGCGCGGTTTTAAACAATGAATTAGAAAATTATTATTTTTGGTTAATTAATTAATTATTAATTAAGCAATCATAAAAGAAAAATACAAAAAATAAGGTTTATACTAAGAATATACAACTCAACACCAACTCAACATTGTACAACCAACAACTGCCTTTTAAACTCTCCAACTCACATACTCTCAACAAACTCACACTCAAACTCAACACACTCAACTCAACTAAAGACTCTCAAACAACTCTCTGTGCAAGCTCTCTAATGCTCTTGAGCAAAATACTGCAGTTGTAGAATTCAAAATATATGCAAACAAACAAGTAAACCAAAATCAGTACTAAATCTAAACAGCTAAAACAAAGAAAAAGCAGGGTACTGAAATAACTAGTAAAGAAAGAAAATAACAAATACCATGTTAAACTGCTAAAACACAAAAAGTCAAAGTATTGAAAATTAAACTGTTAAAGCAAGAAAAGACAAAGCACTAAACTACTGAAAGAAATGTAGGTACTGAAAGAAAAGTGGGTACTAAAAGAAAACACTTGTGTTAAGACAGTAAAGAACAAAACTAAAGTAACTGCTATCTAATTTGTCATAAACTAAAACAACCAGATTACTTCCAAAGGGAAGTTATAAGTCCTACAAATAACCAGATAACTTCTAAAGAGAGTCATAAGACGTATCCAAACAACTAGACGACTTCCATTGCCTTCCAATGGAAGTCATAAGATCTATTTTTTGGGAAATTTCTAAACAAAATATCAAACCCTCAACCAAAACAAACGGGCCACTTAGTTTATATGGCTAGGCTGTAAGATTCACCATTAGGTTCTAAATGTTTAAGGCGTAAGACATTCAAACTAAACAAACAAGCAGCTTAGTCTATGTATAGGGCTAGGTCGTAAGACCCACAAGTGGATCTTTTCTAGGTGAAGCAAGGAAAACTTTTAAAGGAAGTACAATAACTCTAAAACTCAAATAAAAACTACAGTCAATTTTTAAGGGAAGTGATCTATTCAAACAAAACAAAAGAGAAGCTTAGCCTATAAGGCTAGGTTTTAAGACCCACCATCAGGGCACCTTTGAAATGTATAAGCCATAAGATCTACTCAAATAAACAAGAGTCTTTTAAGGCAAGTTGTTAGACCTGTTTTTCGTGTAACTTTCAATGAAAGCCATAAGACTCGCTCCTAAAATCATCGAGCTACTTCTAGTGGAAGCCGTAAGCCCTAGAATAATTCAACTAACCGAATAACTTCTAAACAAAGTCATAAATTTCAAATTAAATTAATCACTCTGTATACTAACAAATGTAAACCCCAAACTTCCATTATTACAATCCACTTATAACCACTTTAGCTTACTCGGGATTCCTAAGAAGAGGTAACTCATGACTACTAATCAGATTTTCTGGATACTACGATTAATAATCACTAGTATTGGTAGAGTGAAACTTATGGTATACCTGGTCAAATTAAATTAATCACTCTGTATACTAACAAATGTAAACCCCAAACTTCCATTATTACAATCCACTTATAACCACTTTAGCTTACTCGGAATTCCTAAGAAGAGGTAACTCATGACTACTAATCAGATTTTCTGGATACTACGATTAATAATCACTAGTATTGGTAGAGTGAAACTTATGGTATACCTGGGACGACGGAACCATAAGATCTTGATTAGCTTTACCTCCATTTTCCCTTACATTGTCATGACCCAACCCATATATTTAAATTAACGAGACGGGAACGAAAAGTCAGACGGTGTAACATTTCATTCATTTGGATAGGCAAATTAACATACAACTTCTCAAAACAACTGAGCCACTATTACAAAATTTTCCATAAAATTATTCATACTATTTTTCAAATTAAATATTTACATCAATCATAATTTACTTGTTTTCATTTGCACATTATTTTCCATAGCATACTTCTTCCTTTTAGTCATTTCTAATTCT